AGTGAGCCTTTTATGTGTGTTTGAACAGCCTTAAGGTGATTCCTTGGTATTGCATTGCACATCCCTTCTGCGCACGATTTTCGCGTCATGGCCGCGCGAACATGAGCACGTGCGCGTACAAAAAGTAAGAGATTTCCCTCAAACTAAGCTCGATAGCGAAATAAATGCTCCTTTTCTCTTAAACGAGCACGTTGACCACCACTTTTTATTTCATAATTTTAATGAGAACAATATCCTCAATAACTGAGAAAAAAATTAGCAATCTATGGCTACTTTTTTGGCAAATGAAATAAATACTACAGAGGGAGACATAACGGGCCCAACAGCGCATGTCCAAATTATGTTTCCTTTAGAGGATAAAAAAATGCAGGATATTGGTTGTGTTGTGTTCTTCGGCAATACACTTTACTCTCACGGTGCCTTTCTCCACCCAGGTGTATAAATAGGTACAGGCGAATTTAATGCTAAAGGGTAACCCTGCGATGGACTAGCATCTCATCCAGGGGGGAGTAGAAATACTCCTAGTCACTTCATGCTACAGAAACCGGGATAAGCTCCGACCGGATGGGCCACTTAGCTCGTATACAGACTTTACTACTTAACTGACACCACTGACTAATGCATGAGAATGACGTTAGGAGAATGACACCTCGGGATTCAAAGGGCTCGTATCGAGCTCGAATTTCTTACCTGAGACATCTGATAATGTTCTAATGACATGCAGATTACATTCAGGCAAATCACCATGGCAATAGTGACGTCCCAGTACAAATGAAGACACATGTCATGAATGCGCCGGCGCCAAGTGCTGTAACTTTCATAATATGTGCGGTCTACTTCTGAAATGGAAAAACGAATAAAGAAACAAAAAAGTCATCGCCTGGAGACATTGTTAGGAGAACGTAAAGAGCAAGAGGGATAACGAATTATGCATATCCGATGGGCGTAAGGGCTTCTGAACCGTCTGAGTGTAAAATCCATGAGCACTCATTACAGTTGTCTATTGACCGACTGACGGACTGACTGACTGACTCACTGACTCACTGACTCACTGACTGACTGACCCGCTGACTCACTGACTCACTGACCCACTGACTGACTGACTCATTGTCTCACTGACTGACGACCTGAACAGATGACTGATTGTAGCTGTTCAAACAGACGCAGACGACGGATAGACAGAGGGAGAGACAGAAACGTAAACAGAACAAGGACTATATGGCGGCTGTACATTTAACTACATTACCATGCGAGCCTTACACAGCCCATAAAGTACAAGGAAAGCCATATTTTTGCAATATTTGTCCCTGCACTAACGACACTGTATACTAGGTTTAAAGTTTCGTTTTTTCCTGCAGACGATTTATATCACTTGTTTTCTTCGTTAGCTACCGGCTCATATCTACCTTCTTGGTTCCTATTTTTGTTCTTTTCCAGCAATTTTCGTCGTCTTCTCTGCTTTTCCTCGTCCTCTAATTTTTCGCGACAGCGCTGAAAGTTCTCCACCACCACCCCCACAATCATGTTAAGCACAAGGAAGCCTCCTAACATTAGAAAAGGAATGAAATACGCCAGCCTCCATTCCCGGTAGTTCTTGATGGGCTGAAAACATTCAAAGCATTGCATCGAGATTAACAATATCAACTTAAAAAGCTAAGAAAAGCCCAAACTACAGTTCATTACCAGTTAGCAGATTAGTCTTAGTACGTGTATATAGCAGTCAGCCTCCGGAAGGGCCGCCAAGTGGAGCGACATATTCATAGGCACCCATGAATTACTTTTCTCATGGTCATCATGGCTAGCGGTATTGCTCGTGGGTGCGTAGACACGACGGCGACGACCACGAAGTCCCGCAACATGGCGGCCATGCTCCAGGTAATAAACTGACCAAGACATGCAGGCTTGGTTTACAGCGTACATCTTTGACATTGGACATTCAGGTTATATGTCAATTGACACCTGTCAAAACAAGGTATCACGAGACCAGTATCACGAGACCAGTATCACGAGGCCAGTATCACGGGACCAGTATCACGAGACCATATTGACCACCGTAGACCAGGTACTGGTTTTCGATTAGATTGTAGGCTCAGGCCAGGTTAACTTATTGTAATCAGGAGCCCCGCTCTTAGGCTTGGATAAATCTATGTCTTAGTAGATACTTTTATAATGATATTGGTTGAAATAAAATACAAAACTTTACTATGCACGAAACATTTTCGTTTTTCTTACTTTCCAGTTATAGCTAACTTGTTTTTCAACTGTACTTTCAGGAGACAATAAACACAAATGTTGTACCTGTTTATCGATTCCCACTGCATCGATACCATTGTGCATTATTTCTACCCATCCATCTCGTGTGGAGAATACAAAGAGTGATACTAAGGCCTGCGCATTAAAGAAAAGTGACGGTTATTTTATACATTCACATAAACATAGCTTCAGATAGTTTAATGTAGAGATATATCAGCTACTTATATTTCAACTGATATATTTCAAGTTATCGCCAAACTTTCCGATGTAAATAGATACACAACCAGGAGTTCCCAACTGTTAAATGTACCTCTTTTTAAGACTGCCTCTGAACAGTCAGCATCTGGAATTCCTTGGAATCGAATTTAAAACTTTGTAGTAACGAAACAATCTTTAAGAAGCGTTTAAGGAGTAAACATCTAAGGGATTTGTTAGGATATACTTGATATAGTGATGAGTAGTTGTGTAACTGATATAGTAATGAGTAGTTTTTTTTATTTTCTAATCTTGTGAATAATTTAAATAACTATGTAAATTATTACTTTATAGTTATTATTGCTCCTGAAAAGCCCCATTGGGGAGGTTCAATAAAGTATTCATTCGTTCATTCATAGTCAGTAAGTTCGGAAAGAAAAATAAACATTCAGCGAAAAATAAAGAAAAATTCAGTTTGAACTTTAGTTTCAACAATGGAACGGATTACATTTGGTAAGTTGTCAAAATTGTACATGTGGTTCTCCCATCTGCCACTGTCATTCTGACACTCGGACTTGTTGGTCACATGACCTCTGTTGCCTTCGCAGTAATGAAAGGTGCCCTTGAAAATCTGAAAGAAAAAGTACGCCCATAAGTTCACGTTTCAGAGCAGAGGTACTCTCTTGGACAATGTTCAGAACACCATTACTGAATTTGCTACATTATCGTTCCATTAAACGTGTCATACATGTGTTACAAATCACATTACGTCTTCTTAGAATTTCCGGATGAATTTTTGTCCAAGAAGGTACTCCACAAAGTCCTATACTGGAAGGCTCCACCCCAAGGTCCAACCCCTTACCCTTTATTATGCCATTTTGTCAGAAAAGGTAACCCTTTTCCATACCTTTTTTTTCTAAATGTGGTACCCCTTTCACGTATTGCTGTAACGGGTCCGCATTTTAATGGAGTCGCAGTCACTTTGATGTAGTGCTTCATAAAATTTAATGATACAGCCATGTGGTGCGTCTGTTCATATACCGCAAGTTGTGAAATCCCTACCCTTTCNTTTTGAGTCGGTTCTAAACTGAAGGAACTGAAACAAATTTTGAAGGGTTTGTATGGGATGCTATCAAACTTTGATCCCTTATATCTCTATCGGGAATTGTAATTCAGAGCTAATTTTTGGGATGAGGGCATCTTTTAGGATCCTCTATAAGAATGTGACATCATATCTCATAATTTCAAAACTTTTATCTTTGTGACGTCATCACTTTAGGACTCTATTCGACCAGGATAGAGGACTGCATGAAAACCAGCTAAGGCTGGTTTGGCTTCCTCTCGCAAAATTTCAGCTGCTAACTGTGCTGTGTTGGGTTTTCATTTAACAAATTCTAAACTGGAGTCTTGAACGAAGACGTCAGCTAACTGAACAAAGATGTCAGCCAAGTTCAAAAATCATAAAGTCTCTCAAGTGTCTACTGACAATAACTTGTGACATACCTATTGGTCAAATATATATTTTCTTACCTCTAATATTCCATTCCAGTTATCTCCCGTTGCTATTCTAAACAAAGTCAACATGGCAGTGCCAAAATCCCTGAAGTGCGCATGCGGGCCAAGTCCTTGGCAGGGATGGGACGGAGAACACTCTGTGAAACAAAAAACGAGATTGACTCAAACACAGTAAAATTGCGTCCCTATAAAGCCAGAATATCAAAATATAGGTGGGGGGGAATACTGTAAACATTGTTTAGTACTCTGAACCACTCTACTGTAATGTTGTGTGCTGTGATGTGGTTCAGTACCCTAAACCACTTTACTGTGATGTTNGTCAAATATATATTTTCTTACCTCTAATATTCCATTCCAGTTATCTCCCGTTGCTATTCTAAACAAAGTCAACATGGCAGTGCCAAAATCCCTGAAGTGCGCATGCGGGCCGAGTCCTTGGCAGGGATGGGACGGAGAACACTCTGTGACACAAACAAACGCGATTGACTCAAACACAGTAAAATTGCGTCCCTATAAAGCCAGAATATAAAAATATAGGGGGGGGGGGAGGGGAAATACTGTAAACATTGTTCAGTACTCTGAACCACTCTACTGTAATGTTGTGTACTGTGATGTGGTTCAGTACCCTAAACCACTTTACTGTGATGTTGGTATCCTCATTAAAGATTACTATTACNTCAACCATATTTAAATAATTAGATTAAATAATTAGACAGAAGTTATTTTAAAGATTTTGGGCGAAAGCCACTAATCACTCACCCTTTCAAACACACTGCATATTACGGTAGGTGGTGTAAGGGGATCCATCACTTATGAATACATAGTGTAAATAAATGGTTGGACATTCTTGAAGCCTAAAAAAACCGTGTCGAATTTCTAAATACTTTGTCAGAACTAGAACGACTTTGTCTATTGTTGACTTGAATATAGACTGTACTAGTTTCATAACAAGTTTCTATCAGTTTGCACTACAGCATATCCAGAGCCATTGTCACGTGACAATGACCAAAATATAGACCTCGTGGTTTTAAGTGTTCCGGTCGCCATTTTGGATGAAAGATTTTTGGTTTTAGTGGAAATGCAGTGCTCGTGATCGCTTTAAGCGACATACCTCGAATGATACGCAGCACTCTCAAGGACCGTGCCACGGTAGGGTTGATCAGTAGTCTCCTTGTAGAGCTCAAGGACTCCACAAGTATCCCAGCCAAGGAAAGAATAACAATAACCAGATCAACAATGTTCCACCTGTGGATGCAATCACAGCTGTTAGCAAATATTTAACTATTATTCACCGAAGTGGAGGTAAGTATCCACCACTTCCACCGACACTGAGGTGAATAGTTGTTTTAGCCAGTATAGCGTACAAGTTGAATAATCAGCCTCGTTTATCAATAAAATTTGCTCTTCGGTAACCGAAGCGAAACGGGAAACCATTTTGTTTTTATCCGTTTGCTCCAAGCTAGCCAATCAGAATGCGTGGAAAGTAGTATTCACTTGTGTAGTATATACTGAATATTAGTTATTCAATGCTCTCTCGTGGTATACCATGAAATATCCCACGAGTCACTTGTATTTTCTCGGTATACACACGAGCCTTTAGGCGAGTATGGATACCAAGAAAATACAGGTGTATGTCCATAGTACACCACGACAGAGCGTTGTATAACTGTTTTATACCACGCCATAGAAAATACAGTGACAAACACAATCAATGCGACATACGCGCGGCGCATGATGGGAAGGTTGGATGTAATACCGTCGAATATACAACGGCTTTCCTGGTTATTCTGATTGGCTGTATTTTCTATAGCATTGTATAAATAATTGTGGGAAATGGCTAAATATATGGGTTATTAACCAAGCGCGAGGTCAAGATGGCTGAATATTGTTCAAGTTCTTCTTACGCGTTTTTGGAACATGTGACGTTTAACGAACGACAAGCTTAGAAAAACACTGAGGTAAAAGACTACAACCGCGCGAAAAATGTAACCAATCATAACGGCACGGGATGCAACCAGCGACAAGCGCGGGAAAGCATGTAACCAATCATAACCGCGCGGGGTAAGAATGCAACCAGCGGCAAGCGTGGAAAAACATGCAACCATTACTCAAAGCGCGGTAAGTGAAAAGCAAACCCTGAAATTATAATTTCAAGCGCAGGAATGCATGCATGTGGAAAACTAAATTCTTTCCGCATAAATAAGCATCGCATTTTAGAGGTACATCGGTTTTTTTCTCTCAGGGACGACATGTTTTCAAAAATAAGCCTTCACAAATAAAATATGCTGCTTACCTGTCTTTAAAATATCGCACGAATCCAAAGGCGATAAACTTGAATATTACCTCTAAAACGAAGATCCCGGTGAAAAAATAATTCGCAGTCTCCACAAATATCTCAAACGTCTGTAATGCAAAGGAAATTCTTTAGTTTAGAAAAGTTTGACTCATCTTGGGACGGAAGCAAAAGGTGACTTGGAAATGGCCCATGATTTGTTTTGTTCTTGCCGCGAAAATACAAGGGTATTTTTTGATAATCACCGTGATAAAGACAAATTATTTCCATTCATTACTGCAAGGGAACTCCTTGGACTCGACTTACAACAAGCTATACCCTCGACATAGCATTAAAGAGATACGCATACCTCTGGTTGGTCACTGAGTGCGTAACTAGCTTAGCAGCAACAAATCAAAGTCGCTGACACTGATTCTTGTAGAACTACTTCATCAGGATGTTGAATGTATCGCGCGGGACTATCAGATTTCACTCTGAACCTCGCGAAGTGACAGACATCAAACAACGGGTGACGCCTGTTTTACCAAGACAGTGAGCCTTTTATGTGTGTTTGAACAGCCTTAAGGTGATTCCTTGGTATTGCATTGCACATCCCTTCTGCGCACGATTTTCGCGTCATGGCCGCGCGAACATGAGCACGTGCGCGTACAAAAAGTAAGAGATTTCCCTCAAACTAAGCTCGATAGCGAAATAAATGCTCCTTTTCTCTTAAACGAGCACGTTGACCACCACTTTTTATTTCATAATTTTAATGAGAACAATATCCTCAATAACTGAGAAAAAAATTAGCAATCTATGGCTACTTTTTTGGCAAATGAAATAAATACTACAGAGGGAGACATAACGGGCCCAACAGCGCATGTCCAAATTATGTTTCCTTTAGAGGATAAAAAAATGCAGGATATTGGTTGTGTTGTGTTCTTCGGCAATACACTTTACTCTCACGGTGCCTTTCTCCACCCAGGTGTATAAATAGGTACAGGCGAATTTAATGCTAAAGGGTAACCCTGCGATGGACTAGCATCTCATCCAGGGGGGAGTAGAAATACTCCTAGTCACTTCATGCTACAGAAACCGGGATAAGCTCCGACCGGATGGGCCACTTAGCTCGTATACAGACTTTACTACTTAACTGACACCACTGACTAATGCATGAGAATGACGTTAGGAGAATGACACCTCGGGATTCAAAGGGCTCGTATCGAGCTCGAATTTCTTACCTGAGACATCTGATAATGTTCTAATGACATGCAGATTACATTCAGGCAAATCACCATGGCAATAGTGACGTCCCAGTACAAATGAAGACACATGTCATGAATGCGCCGGCGCCAAGTGCTGTAACTTTCATAATATGTGCGGTCTACTTCTGAAATGGAAAAACGAATAAAGAAACAAAAAAGTCATCGCCTGGAGACATTGTTAGGAGAACGTAAAGAGCAAGAGGGATAACGAATTATGCATATCCGATGGGCGTAAGGGCTTCTGAACCGTCTGAGTGTAAAATCCATGAGCACTCATTACAGTTGTCTATTGACCGACTGACGGACTGACTGACTGACTCACTGACTCACTGACTGACTGACCCGCTGACTCACTGACCCACTGACCCACTGACTGACTGACTGACTGACTGACTCATTGTCTCACTGATTGACGACCTGAACAGATGACTAATTGTAGCTGTTAAAACAGACGCAGACGACGGATAGACAAAGGGAGAGACAGAAACGTAAACAGAACAACGATTATATGGCGGCTGTACATTTCACTACAATACCATGCGAGCCTTTACACAGCCCATAAAGTACAAGGAAAGCCATATTTTTGCAATATTTGTCCCTGTACTAACGACATTGTATACTAGGTTTAAAGTTTCTTTTTTCCTACGGACGATTTATATCACTCGTTTTTTTCGTTAGCTACCAGCTCATATCAACCTTCTTGGTTCCTATTTTTGGTCTTTTCTAGCAGTTTTCGTCGTCTTCTCTGCTTTTCCTCGTCCTCTAATTTTTCGCGACAGCGCTGAAAGTTCTCCACCACCACCCCCACAATCATGTTAAGCACAAGGAAGCCTCCTAACATTAGAAAAGGAATGAAATACGCCAGCCTCCATTCCCGGTAGTTCTTGATGGGCTGAAAACATTCAAAGCATTGCATCGAGATTAACAATATCAACTTAAAAAGCTAAGAAAAGCCCAAACTACAGTTCATTACCAGTTAGCAGATTAGTCTTAGTACGTGTATATAGCAGTCAGCCTCCGGAAGGGCCGCCAAGTGGAGCGACATATTCATAGGCACCCATGAATTACTTTTCTCATGGTCATCATGGCTAGCGGTATTGCTCGTGGGTGCGTAGACACGACGGCGACGACCACGAAGTCCCGCAACATGGCGGCCATGCTCCAGGTAATAAACTGACCAAGACATGCAGGCTTGGTTTACAGCGTACATCTTTGACATTGGACATTCAGGTTATATGTCAATTGACACCTGTCAAAACAAGGTATCACGAGACCAGTATCACGAGACCAGTATCACGAGGCCAGTATCACGGGACCAGTATCACGAGACCATATTGACCACCGTAGACCAGGTACTGGTTTTCGATTAGATTGTAGGCTCAGGCCAGGTTAACTTATTGTAATCAGGAGCCCCGCTCTTAGGCTTGGATAAATCTATGTCTTAGTAGATACTTTTATAATGATATTGGTTGAAATAAAATACAAAACTTTACTATGCACGAAACATTTTCGTTTTTCTTACTTTCCAGTTATAGCTAACTTGTTTTTCAACTGTACTTTCAGGAGACAATAAACACAAATGTTGTACCTGTTTATCGATTCCCACTGCATCGATACCATTGTGCATTATTTCTACCCATCCATCTCGTGTGGAGAATACAAAGAGTGATACTAAGGCCTGCGCATTAAAGAAAAGTGACGGTTATTTTATACATTCACATAAACATAGCTTCAGATAGTTTAATGTAGAGATATATCAGCTACTTATATTTCAACTGATATATTTCAAGTTATCGCCAAACTTTCCGATGTAAATAGATACACAACCAGGAGTTCCCAACTGTTAAATGTACCTCTTTTTAAGACTGCCTCTGAACAGTCAGCATCTGGAATTCCTTGGAATCGAATTTAAAACTTTGTAGTAACGAAACAATCTTTAAGAAGCGTTTAAGGAGTAAACATCTAAGGGATTTGTTAGGATATACTTGATATAGTGATGAGTAGTTGTGTAACTGATATAGTAATGAGTAGTTTTTTTTATTTTCTAATCTTGTGAATAATTTAAATAACTATGTAAATTATTACTTTATAGTTATTATTGCTCCTGAAAAGCCCCATTGGGGAGGTTCAATAAAGTATTCATTCTTTCATTCATAGTCAGTAAGTTCGGAAAGAAAAATAAACATTCAGCGAAAAATAAAGAAAAATTCAGTTTGAACTTTAGTTTCAACAATGGAACGGATTACATTTGGTAAGTTGTCAAAATTGTACATGTGGTTCTCCCATCTGCCACTGTCATTCTGACACTCGGACTTGTTGGTCACATGACCTCTGTTGCCTTCGCAGTAATGAAAGGTGCCCTTGAAAATCTGAAAGAAAAAGTACGCCCATAAGTTCACGTTTCAGAGCAGAGGTACTCTCTTGGACAATGTTCAGAACACCATTACTGAATTTGCTACATTATCGTTCCATTAAACGTGTCATACATGTGTTACAAATCACATTACGTCTTCTTAGAATTTCCGGATGAATTTTTGTCCAAGAAGGTACTCCACAAAGTCCTATACTGGAAGGCTCCACCCCAAGGTCCAACCCCTTACCCTTTATTATGCCATTTTGTCAGAAAAGGTAACCCTTTTCCATACCTTTTTTTTCTAAATGTGGTACCCCTTTCACGTATTGCTGTAACGGGTCCGCATTTTAATGGAGTCGCAGTCATTTTGATGTAGTGCTTCATAAAATTTAATGATACAGCCATGTGGTGCGTCTGTTCACATACCGCAAGTTGTGAAATCCCTACCCTTTCATATACCTAAACCTTGAAAACCCTACCCANCCCCCTCACCCCCACCCCCCGTGACAAAGAATTCACTTTGTGCGATAGTGTGTCATGATGTCAGTAGCGGGATACCTCTGCCCTAGCCCGGACAGCCTTGTATTTTGCTTTAAAAATCAGCTCTGAGTACAGATAACTATCCACTTGCTGTGTTGTCGATGTCATCGGGGATAACCGTTTTTTAGCATGCCGTGTATCTTTCAAGGATAATAACAGTTTCTTCAGAAACCTTAATTGGTATTCGGACCAAATAACGCAAAGACGACTGTAGAATTAAGAACATGAATGACAGTTACCTGGACTCCCAGTATGCCAAACATCACAAAGAATATGGCAGCGATCAGAACAGTATTTCCAATTGGTTTCAATGAGTAAAGAAGAGTTTGAACAACCAACTTCAGCCCTGGTGCTCGCCGAATCATCCTATTTGATAAAGGTAGAGTTGGAAATATCAACAGTTTTAATTGCTCAGTTAAAAATTATGTTTATATTTGGGGATGTCTCAATAAGCTTATAAGACAAACCTCAAAGGTCTAAGTGTCCTTAGCGCCCGGAAAACTCTAAGAGCTCCAAGTACTTCTGGTGCGGTGGCAGAACTATAAGTAATGATGACATCAATCCAAGAAAAGAGAACAAGAATTCCATCTAAGACATTCCAGCCGTCCTTCAAGTAGGTCCCGGGGCCCAGAACCAAACCATGAGCAATAATCTGTGCGGTTACAAGAAGTAGAGAAGTTCAGGAAAACAATGAGAAGAAAAAAATCACTGAATGGGAATATGGATCTGACACATATGAGGTAGGAGAGTTTTAAAAAAAGAGGTCACTTTGCATTGGTTGTTTAACATTTGAGAGCAATTTTGCAGAATTTTGGAAGGGAATTTCAGTTCGATATGAATGTGTTCCATTTGAAGTTTCCGCGAAGGAAAGCTAGTTTGGCTGAGGCGTGAGGCCGTGAGGCCGCGAAGCCCCAAGGCTTGAAACGGATGCAAACATTTTCATTCAACTGAGCCGAAAAGTCGTGTTTCTTCTACATTCCAACGGGAATTTGAGGAATCAGGAGCCGAGTTCTTTTGGTAACTGGAAAATAATTCTATACCTTAAGTAGACATCATATCCCAGTCAAAAAGGGTAATCTCTTCAAACATGTCAAATTTAATAAGAACTTACTAATTTAAATCAGGATGCATTACACTAACAGTTGGTGTAAAACTATGATCCAGAAATTGAATTCTCCGCCAAAGCATTTCCGCGGACTCTTCGAATCGTTTTACAGGATCGTTTACAAAGTGCATGATTATTTTCAGTAATATCACTAAATAATCTTAAAATTGTTCACTAGGGCAATATATTTACCTTTATCATCATTTCAAGGCTAAAAATTATGGTCAGTGTAAGCATTGCGATGTCGATTATCCGGCGTTTCTAACGAGCAAGAAGAAAACGTAACGAAGAATTGGGTCAGAGACAATATAAAAATATTGTTTCATAAACAATTTTGTGTTTAATCATTCAAGTGTTTAAACATACCGGAAACTTAGCATTTCTCAAATCTTTCACTTATGTCTCTCGAAAAACAATGTTCATAGGCACTCAGTGTCTAAAAATCAGACTCTCCTACTCCACTGTTGAATGCTACCCACTCGAAATTCAAATCCGAGGTGGTGTCTGCTTCATGCCATCTTTATCTTTATCCAAGACGATAATGGAGAGCAGGTTGATCAATTTCTTTCCCAGTGTTTCAGGTTCATTACTACACGCACCACCCACATTCCCTTCACGCCGTTTAGTGCAAAAAGTAAAGGAAAAGTAAAGTAGTAACTTCACAAACACGCCTTAAAATGGACCTTGACAAATCACACAGCTCTCATTATGGCTCTGAGTTCGCTCACCTGGTGATCTGATGGGATGTTAGGCTCCTCTAGTGCCAGGACCACACAGCTTATTAGAATAAAAAACAGCACAGCGTAGTCAAAGTACTTGTGCCCGCACACGGCAGTTAGAAATCGACGAAATCTGCAAGAAAATCAACAGATGACATCGATCAAAAAGACGATATCACTACGGTCAAGTTCCTCCAAAAGGAAACTTAACTTGTACATAGAAATTTGGCCACTACATGCCGGCAACCACGCTTTTGGTAGTTGCTTGAATAATTTCCCTCTAAGATACACACCCCTGCTAAGTGAAAATCGTAGACGGTGCAGAAAATGTCCACTCTTAGTTTTTTTTTTTTTTTTTTTTTCTTACATACAATGCAAATCATTCTTCTACCTATGAGGGGAAGTGACAAAATTATCTTATCTTTTATTTTGTAGCGGTATTTACAAAATGCGAAAGAAAACAGCTGCCTTCACAAGAAACGTTCATTGCAAAGTCTTACCTGTTTGAGGGCGAGAACAAAAACAGAGACCAGTCTGATCGTATGTCTGTGATCTTCATAACCCTTACTTTCCTGGTCTTCGACACAGAGAGAAAAATAAAGAAAATTTCAATACTTGGGTATAAATAAGTCGCAAAGAGCAATTCTGTCTGAAGATACAAGTAAACATCGCTGTTGACTCATACCTTAGACTCGGGAGCAGCACATTCACGTAGTTGGTAGACGTCTCGTGTGTTGTGGTTGTTCTGAAAGACAATTTGGGGTGACTCAGGCCGAGATGTTGCTAGCGACACTTCTGACTGATTCATACGTGATCTCCTGCCAGCAATTGTCGAAGACTCAATTTTCCAAGTAAGTTCAGGTGTTCTCTTGGAGGAAGCCTCAGAATGCCTCTCTGATTCCAAAGCTGTATCAAGATTAGACGTGTCCTCTGTTACTAACTCATCGCAGAGAAACCCTGAATTATAAGCTGCCGAATTCGCCAACTCAAAATCACCACAAACCGCGTTTAATGATGTTCTTCTCACCCTCTGTTTCGCCAATTTTGACTCCTGTCGAATTTTTTTCAGCTGCGGCATTGTCAAGTTAGCGTCCTTGATTTGTGAAGCAGCTACTGAATTCTTGGTTTCTAAAGGTTCCAGCGTTGCCAAGGAGAGGCTCGGCGTGAAGTTCGTCTTGTGTTGGAAAGTTGTGCCCAAGGCGTTTCGTACTCCATGGCCACAGAAATCCGGCAGAGACTCTGGGTTATAATTTCCGGGGCATGGTTCTTCAGAATCTTCTTTAGAGATCAAAATATGAGGCATTTCAAACTTCCTAACCACCGGTTCTCCTAAAGTTTTTCCACCGGTCTCTTCCTTGGGCTTTGGCGATGCTTTCCGTTTCTACAGGAGAAGAGAGTGATTATGATACGACAAATACTTTTTTGATTGTCTCAAACAGAACTGTTACTGATTTTGATTTGTTTTCTCATCTTCCCAGTTACAACATTTTAAGGGGATCGAGAATGGGTACTGAAATATCCCTTAAAGGAGCTTCCTCACGGTTTGCGCATCTTGACGAGTTTGGTCAAAATTTTTTAAGTTCGTCGTTTCTAATCCGTGTTTATCTTCTCCATCCTTAACCATCCTTGTTCCTTTATGGGTTACTATTACCTCTTTGGTGTTTTTACATCTTAGTATACTATTATTTTTAGGTTTTCCTCAATTTAAAGGCAATTTTTACGTGTTCAAAATAACTCAATGCAGTGACTGAGCTCCTTTAAGGCTTAATTATACCATTCAATGCGTTTGCAGAATTATCCAGATTGACGACAGGCTATTTTATAAAGCAGTATTCGACTAGATCTGCTGTTTGCGTTTAGTTCTTTTAATCCTCTGCGTTCTGTAAATCATCAAGCAACTTATTACCGCAATTGGCGGTGGTTGCATATTGCACACTTTGCACAGTTGGCAAGTTTTCCCGCGCTTGGCATCAGTTGCAAGTTTTCTCTCGCTTGGCACCAGTTGTTTGCCTTCCCGCTCTTTGCGTCAGCTGCATATTTTGTTCTAGACATCTAATTGATTTATTTATCATGGTCTGCTCTGATTTCCCATAAACAAGTCCTGGGATTTTGGTTATAGCTTTAAGAAGGCGTCAGAAACATCCTTGTCATATGTTTTTCGATTACTTAGGTTTGACTTCATCTGAGTTCAGCTGAGTTGTATTGAGCTAATGACCCTAACCCTGAGCTGAGTTGGGTTGGATTGAGTGAAAGAGGCAAGATGTGTTTAATTATGGACAGTAGTTGCAACGTACCCCTGAATTTGTGAATCCTTCTACAAGTATGGCCACCAACAGATTGAATAACACGTAATAACCAACAGCCATCAGCGCGATGAAATACAAAGCCGCCCATTTCCTTGTAGAGCGCATGCCGTCATACATAACTTGATTCCAGTTTTCCTGAGTCAGGATCTGTTGTGACGAGACATTCAAGTGTTATGATATTTCTGCTTCATGCTTACTGTTGGTGAAACCGTTCTGAACTAAATGCGAATCGTTCCCCAAGCGGATTCCATGTGTCAACAACTAGCTTCTTTCGACTTAAAGGGACCTAGTCAGTCACACCTTTGTTTTGTTTACATACGAAAGTTTGGCTATTATATTTTGTTCGAAGCTTATCGAAATGAAGGAAAATACTCTGAAAATATCAAAAATAATTATGCATACTTTCAGGAACACAACTTACAGTAATGCGATAACATTTCACTTCACCATGCAATATCAGCGGAGGCTGACTAGGGTCTTTTAAGCTGAGCTTTTAAAGAGGCAAAATTATGTTAATCAGCACGATTTACTCAGCCTGCGTCTGTCTTACCCGCGTACGTAAGGGCTGGAACACACAGGGAATTCCGAGAGGGCCATAGCAAGGATAGTTATTTCCATTTATAAACTTAGTAAAAAAAAGTATTGTCGGGGAAGGTTAGAACACTCCTGATGGGAACCACTTCTCTCCACATTAAAAGGCCCACTCTTGGACGGGAAGTTTTTGGAACTTAAATCCAGGCATCATAAAAATACTGAAAGGAGTACTCGTTAAGAAACGAGCGTACCTGAAACACAGACACCATCGCCCAAAGAAAGTTGTCAAAGTTGCTCCGGGAGACCACTTGTTTTCCTTCAGCGTTCTCAAATTTAAACTTTCCACCAAAAAGATTCATTCCCAGAATTGCAAACGCAAATATAAATAGAAACAGGAGGCCGAAGAACGTCATGACACTCGTCATAGTTTTTACGACGACTAGTAACTGGTATCGTACCGGTCTAACCAGTTTGAAAATCCGGAGTAACCTGATACTCCGGAATATCGAAAGGGCTGAATTTCCTTGGGAGAGCAGGATCTCGCAGACACTGTAAAACAACAAAAATATCGGAAACATCAGTTATCAAAGCCTTGGGGGCTTTGTCATTCTATTATAGTCAAGAGGCAAAATTTATCTACAAAAGCTACCGGCAAACGGTTTTACTTTAAAAAATAAGGTATTTCAAATGGAACAGACGTTATTACCTTACAATAACAATGAAGCCGTCGAATACGTTTTGTCCCTGGCTTACGTAAGCAGTTACTCCAAATCCCAGCAACTTTATAATCATCTCAACGGCAAAAATGGACACAAAGATAATATTTACGGTCTCCAGAGCAACGGTCAAACGTTCAGGCTGCAAAGAAAACTCTGAAAGTTATTTGTGACCCAGCGGCTAGTTCTTCATAATATAAACACAATATAATTTATTTCATTTACGATCGATAGCTTCCCGAATCTGTTTCTTTCAGAGATGATTATAACTCTTAGCACTTTCTTGAAAACTTTGTCTTCCAAATTAGGTGATCCTGAAGAACGTTTAGATGCAAGGGACTCATGGAAAGCGCAGTCCCAAAATATCGCCCTTCCAGTAGGCCATAAAAAGAGCAATGGTAGAACAGTATTAAACACAGGAATCTTAGGCATTTTAAAACGTAGCCTGGGTACCCTGGTCCCAGAGGAAGTTTTTCTCCCTTTTACTCACATTTAAGTAAGAAATAGGAAAAATAAGACCTCTGAACCAAGGTACCGACTGGATAAGTATCGTTCCATTTTCTCGAAATCTGTTTAGAATTAAGGGTTAGTTCCCTCGATCAGATGTAAATCACTTTCTCTTCATTGTAAGCTACACAGAATATATGGACATGCATCACTTCTAAGGAGAACTTGTATATCGATCTCAGCGGAAAACGCTTTTTCCCGCTCTTATCTCTCTTACCTGTTGGTAATGTTCAAGGCCCATACAAATCATATTCAACAAAATGGCGCTCATGATAACAAACGTAAATTGTTTGCTTTCGGTAATCTTTCTGCAAAGAGTCCTCAGCTTCTGCCAAGCTCCATGATTCGCTGTGACATCATAACTTGCACTTTGTCTTAAGTTAAATAAACTTTCAAACATATCATCTTCACTCTGGGTGGAAATATTTCGGCGTTTCAAGGAAGGTCTTTTCAGACTCCTGCCGGAGGTGTTCTCGGGTTGGCATTCATCGTTCCCCCTCTCCAGAAACAAATCCTTAAATGCCGCGTCTCCTTCCATGTGTTCATTCTCAATGTCACCGTCTAAAGAGGATAAAAAATCTACGTCAGCCATTTCGGGATTTATCTCATTCTTACTGAGCTCTGCAACATCTTCGTCAAAATGCTCAGATGAATTGTAAGAGGAAATCCCAAGTTTTCGAGTGCGGGCCAACTTGACATGTGCTTGCTGGCTAAAACGTCGATATTTCAATGCATCCCTGTCCTTCGACTGAACTTCCTTGCTTTCCTTCGAAGGTTCGGTGACTTCATCCTCTGACGTACTTGAGCGAGCAACCAGTGGATTAATTTCCGCTGACACCGTTGTAGACGCAGAGACTTCTGTTTTCCCAGAGATAGAATTTGTTCTGCTTGCAGTATTGCTGGATGAAAACGCAAAGAAACCAGTTGTTGGCGAAGGAATGCTTAATTTCACGCTTGTCTTAGTCTGCGCGACAATTTCTTCGATGGAAACGGCTGAAGACGTTTCTGCGTGAATTGATAGAGTATGCGAGCATACTGAGGTTTTTGAGCCTCTTCTAGAAGGTTGGTCTGGAGGCGTAAGGAAATCTTGAAACAACCCAGGTTCTTCGAGAAAGTTTGGGGAAGAAGACAAAGTTCCTTCTTCCTGAACCTGAATTTTTGGTACGTTTGCTGAAGGAAAAGAGTTAGGGCCTGGAGATGGTGGTACGAAGCAATTGTACAAATGGTGATGAAAGTGGTGATGATGATAAATGTGGTGATGATGATGATGAACGTGTTCCTTTTCTTGGGAATTGTAGTTGCAAACCGTTCCTAGCAATTTAAACAAGGTTTTCAATGGCTTTGATGAGCGGAGAGGTGATTCATCTTTACTGTTTTCCATCAATTCTATCTCACGAGCTTTTGTTTCCTGGAACTGCATGGTGATAACAACCAGGCACAAATTCACAAGGAAAAATGAACCCATCTAGAAAAGAAAAGAAAAGAAACTATAATAAGCTAGGGGGCATGCGGCGAGAAAGAAAGGAAGGGAAGGGGCGTGAAAGGAAGGATGGAAGGATTGGAAGGAGGGAAGGAAGGAAAGAAGGAAGGAAGGAAGGAAGGAAGGAAGGAAGGAAGGAAGGAAGGAAGGAAGGATGGATGGATGGATGGATGGATGGAAGGAAGGGATTACAGGATCTAAATGAACAAAATTCAGTGGATTCAGACTTAACATATTTATTACTTTGCTAGTATTTTTGTTTAGTTGAAATATTCCTCTCTTACCACAATGAGTACAACAAAATAGATCCAGTTCCAATTGCTATGTGCATCCTGGACAAAATACATGATATCTGACCACCCTTCCAGGGTAATAACCTGTAGAAACGAAATAGCCATTCCAAGGGTAAATCGTTTCGTATTAAATATGACTTACTCTCCGTTTTGCCAGTTTTGAAAAGCTTTTCTCACCTGAAATATGGCGATCCATGCAATACCAATATTATCAAATGAAGTCGTGTCATAGAATGGGTTTGGTCCGTTGGGCGTGCAGTTGATATAGTACTGATTCCAGTTTACACAGACTGACTTATTCGCAACAGTGTTGTTCTCAAAGGACCCATGGCACTCGAGACCGTCCAGGTAATAAGGCTTGATATCAGAGCATTTGCTGGTGCCGCGGTCTTCGGGTGAAGAACAGACGAAATCGGGAAAATAGAAGGATGGTTGGTAAAATGTTGACCTGTTGTATCTGAAGCAATAAAAATAAATTTTTGTGATGTAAATCAAGAAATAATGCTTTATTAGTACTGGAAGGCTAGTCATCGAAAGAATCTGGATGGTCGGTGGCCATCAGTAAAGCAAAGATCTCAAAATCTCAAAATATGCTAGACTTAATTGAAGATCAGACTAGCTAGAGGGTAACCAGTTGGCTCTTATTAACAAAGTGCGGCATAGGATTATCGATCAAATCTAGCCTGTGGTGGGATGCAAAATATGTACCAGAGAGCTCCAGATTACAAGACAAGGGCAATGATACAGAAATCAGGTTTAAACGTAACTCGATCTCCAATATGAGCCTTACCTGTTGAAGAAAGCTGAATCTTTAGAGAAGGTGGTAAAGCATCGATTTCTCAGCTTTCCTTGCCACAGCTGTACGCCAATGATACCGAACACAAAGAAGATCAGAAAAGACAAAAGAAGGACATTGCCGAGCATTGGAAGCGTGTCAAGAAGGAGTGTCACCAGGATCCGAATACCTCCAAAATAAGAGCAAAACTGAACTTCATAACTTTGACAAAATATGGCAGTTATCGAGAAGCTTTGGGAAGGCTACTGTCTTCCTTATCTAAAATATTCTCCTTTCTCTCCTCCAACACAGGATCCGTAGATCCCGAGCTGAAGACAAATGGGTGGCATATCTACCTGACAGGGCCGTGCTCTAGAGGCGCTCGGCTGCCACAGGCGACTGACTTTTGCCTTTAGGCGACTGGAAAAACTTACTTTTTTCGGACAAGCTTAAGGGCTGGACACCTCGTAATTGTTTTTGACATACATCAAATCAAAAAGAATACATTGAATTAAAAAAAAAAATACATCAAACTCTTCACTTACTTGGAACTTTATTGATGGCTCGAAGAGGTCTTAGAACTCTGAATGCCCGCATAATGGTCAGATAGTTACCACTTTTTATTACTTTCTCAATCAAGCTAGAAAAAAACATAGGTATTTCGGTTTTATTTAGCTATTATGTATTTAATGAAAACAACTTTAGGATCTAAATATCCCTATGTTCGATAGTAAGTAGCGATGGAAACTAAATCTGCAAACAAACCATTTAACACCACAGACTCTCCTAGGGCTCTCTTTCCTCTAGGGTATGCCTACAAATTTTGGGGGGAAACATTGCGCCTGTAGGGAGTAACATTGACCTTGTCACTACATACTAGGTGCCATGGCAGCGTTAGACCATCGTAAAGGAAGCGCTACCTGGATCTGCACACAGGGGACGAGAAAACCTTTAACATGGTTCATTCATGGTGCAGAGACCTCGCTCTGTACACCATGAACTGAAACCAGCACAAGTGTCTTCCCGTCCCGCACGAGCTAACTCGACCAATCTTACCCAATGACCACAATAAAGCAATCCAATCTGTTCCACTTGTCCTGTAAGTAACCTTTCTTTCCAGTGACACCCATTGCTAGCATCTTGATCACCATTTCGGCGAAAAAGAAAGCGAAGACGACATGTTCCACGTGCTCGAGTACTTGGCACCGAGTGGAGATGCACTGTGGATCAAGTGGATTGTACATGGCTAATGTGACACAGTTGATGAGGATCACGAACATGCTGATGCGTTCAAACCATGTGCCACAATGTTAAGGAAAAGTGCAAGAGTTAATCTATTTACCTTTTTGCAAATAAATTAAGTTATCATTCGATGCATTTTTTTTCCCTCCCTTCTATTGGCTGAGAACCCACCACGTGACCTGCAAATAACTGCCTACAAATATTGGTCTGCTCATGCGTAATACCGTCTAAATGTGTTTTGCTGCAAATGACATTCTGTTCTTGTATAACTAATTATGACCGCGCTCTCTGGTAAAAAATCGCAGATCGCTTCCCTGCGCTGTCGGGTAGTAATTTAAATTTGAAAACAAACTTGGTTATAGAATGATAAAACAATTATTGAACTTGGTTATTGCAAAATATCATGATTGGTCAGTGTCTCGCAGATCAATTATTTGCTGGATCTGCTCGCCAATGACAAATTACAATATTTAGCTCAACCTCGTCCAATAATTGTCAATGTTTGGAAACATAGACCTACTCAGTTGCCACATTACCAAAAACTCAGGGGATAAACTGACCGAACATATCATCACAAACAAAAATGTTCAATGAACCATTATTTTAATAAATATTTAAAAACTCTCAATAAAAACTTGGCGAATGAAGCTGATTCTAAATACATGACTAAATTTCTATCTTAAAAGTCAGGATTTCATTAATTTGAAGCGATATTTCCATATAAAGAGCTGGAAACTTAACACGCGTCGTGATTGCAACGCAATCTTATCAATTCTTTCCAATGAACAATTATAATACATGCTATTAAAAAGAGGCGCTGCTGCTAGTCTTGTCTGAGACTGCGTGAAACTACCTCATAAAGTGGTTGCTTTGGCAACCTTCGCAAACTTTTTGACGTCGCTTCAGCCATCGCTGGCGACGCGAGTGAGTGATCCACGAAAGTAACTTAATGAAAGAAAGACTTAGGAAGGACTTTCAAAACGTCTTTAGCAGCTTTCCATATTCGAAAATGTGTTATATAAGAAGAGAACTAATCTAATGGAAGAGTGTTGCGAGAATCAGTGTCGCCTCGACATAGATTTAACGGAAAACGGAGAAACTGTACTTCTTATTTCTTTTAATAAAAATGCGTGACATAAATATATATATAAACAGCTTTCATCTGAGAAAGTAAATGTGTTATTGATAATCGCTCTTCTCCCGTGGTTTACCTGATCAATTTTCATTATTTTTTAACCTTTTGAATCACTTTCTCCAGAGAATAATTTATAACAACAATTGCGTCAGTGCGTGGTAACTTACGAAAGTGGATAAAAAATGAGTCATTCATTTACGCAAGAACCGTGATCTTTGCCCATTCTCTAATTGCAGCAAAATTACGAAACATTAGTTGCTAATTGCTATTCAAATCGTGAATTTTTTGTTTGTAGTTCGGTGCCGACCAAATGCATATGCAAACTTAACATCGGTTTCAAAGAGGCGAAAGAAATTTATTGATGGCCTAAACAGCAGTTAGATTTAAACGCTGTCAGTCAAAAATTCCATTAAACCTAGAAACAGATACAACATTTCAAAATTAAATTTGGCGGCGCATTTTGTAATTACGATTATCTAAATATCAAGAGTGAACGCTAAGTGTTTGATAATTTTCGTATTTTTCCATCCGAGTGTTAGAGAATTAGAAAGTCTCACCGTCCAAACGAAGTTATTCAGAACCTAACAGAAACTTTTTACCATAAACTACCTTTCTTAATAGGTAGATAAATACATTATAATTCAGTCTCTTTTTTCCTTCCCGGTTTTCTCGCTGTTTTTTTTTTTTTATATGGCCATCCTCTATTTTCACTAATATTCAACAAAAAAAAATTATCTCTAGGAAAGGGAAAACATAACTCGAACAGGTATAAAGCACAGTTCAAAACGTTCGTCCTGTTATGATGTGTTTTGAAAATATCGCGCAACATTTAACAAAAATACGAAGGCTTATTTTATTGTTTGTAATTTCCAATGGAACAATTCAGAGTTGAAAGTTTCCCAACCGAACATAAACACGGGTGGTAAAATCCGCTTTCTAAGATCGCCATCACACTGTAGGCATAACCTAAACATATAGTTTGTACCTGATAGCGAATTATATCGACAATCTCTAGTTATTGATATCAATTGCGAGTATCTGTTCTTACTTCAGGCGCCGGTTTATCCGAGAGTTTATTCCGACAGTGGCTAAGAGTAAACGTTAACTTGTAGGAAATTGCGCGCTTTCATCCTTAAACGCCTAAATTAAGATCAAACATAACATTTCGCTTCTAAGATAAAATTGCCTAGTTTTCAAAAAGGATATGGCCATTTTATCAGCTGGATCATCCAGCGCCTCCCTTTACTGTCCTTGGAGATGATAAAACAAGAGAGGGCTTCGAATTCAGAACTCCCGTCGATGTCATGTTGTGTTGGTAGCGTCGTGTCGCTTGTCTCACGGTCTTCCTCCATGATGTCAAAAGCCGGCCTTTGCTCCAGGAAGTAGTAATACAGTCGAACGTGTTAAAGCGATCATTTGGGAGATTCACCTTCAAAAACACAATGATCACCCGTTTTTGAATCCCTCGACGGTTTTTTTCATGATGTTTTCCCCAGAAAAGAGAGAGTTCTTTTTATATCCGGTGCAACGTGCGTCACTGGATCAGCTTTTCAATTTTCCATGTGAGTGAAATCTACATCTCCTGGCAATAAACAAAATATCCAGAAACATTAATGAATTTGGATTTGTCACTTTGCCTTTAACTGAAGGCCGCAGATGAAGCCACAATACCTGAATACAAATTGAGCTAAATCTTTTTAGACGCGTGGGGAGATGTCTAAAAACGCTGAAATCGACTGCACTTAAAAAAAATTAAACCTCGAGAAAAAAGAGGTATGCTTTAAACCTAGAATTTAATGGCCATTTAAATAACTTTGGCGTTAAACAAAGACGCCAGCTGCCCCGCTCATTTCACCTGATATTAAAACCTTATTTGCCGCACCTACAGTAGAATTTGTCCAAGCTTCCAACCCTTTTCCATTCAGTGGGTCCTTTTTCGATTCGCTCGGTTGAAAATTTTGTTCAAGTGTGCCGAAACCGAATTATCATATAACCAGCTAAAATACAAAAGTTTACTTTAAAATATGGTAAATAACTCGTATCTAACAATAGTGAGCCACTGCAAGTCTTCAAGTTGCTTGCAGCTGATTCAGTTCACACAGAAATGTAGGCTCAAGTAATTTTCATTTCGGAGCATTTCGAATTTAAATTTCTAGTGCTAGTTAAGTTCTTTTTCCCACGTTCTCTGCGGTCAGAGCAAGGATTCGTTCAACAACAAAAACAAAAATTAAAGCAAACAGATCGGCGTTCGATTGAAAGTTGTGCAAAAGATTAACATATTTTATAATTCAGAATTTTTTATCAACAAATATGCTTCATTTTAATTGTGTGAAAATCGTTCTCCTTTATACGGGCGTCACTTCCATAACTATGTTCTTCAATATTACCACACGTATTAGATCTCTTTAAAATTATTGCTGTGTGATGAAATGACTAATTGTCGCCTTTACACCAAAGCAATAACACGATAATGAGGCCATTACCGTATTCCTCCTTATCTCTCAGCCCATATTGAAAGGAAATTAGTTTTCAGTGCGGGAACTTGGAGCCGAGTGAGAGTCCGTTAAGACTTGTGGGTAACTTACATGTATCGATTTTTTAACTTACATGTACATGATTTTCGTGTCCGAGTTTTCCCCAACCACATATCCAACACTAAATGGCCGGTTATTGTTGCGTTTTTAAATTCCTCCGGCGTACTGTGGACGGAAAACATCTGATGCATTTTCAGAGTGAAACTTCCGTTTACAAATTTTGTTCCGCGTGGCGTAGACGAGGCCCTAAATTAGAGGCACAAGGTAGCCTCGTATTGACAAAAATCAACTGAAAATGGCGTGCGATGAATAATTCAAAGGATATATATCAACTTGAAATAAGTAATCAGATCTCTTTTTGGCTTTGTTCTTTTGTTTTTCTGTTTTCTGTTTTCACAGAAATTTTCATATAATCCTTGAACTTTACGTCTTCCATGTTCCTAAACTCGAAAATTATCTAATGGCGTCATTCAACCGTCATCAGCTAGTTCTATGAATTTTATTATAACAGAACTTGTGTGAGTAATGGAGTCATTTACAATATTTTCGACAGGATACTCTTGAGGTAAAACGAAAACCATTTTTGCAAATCGACAGTTTCACGGCTTCTTTATGGCGTCACCCCATTTTAAGTGACAACTCAATATGGCAAATTGAAGATAGAAAATGTACTTTTCTGCATGACAGGAAAGTTTCTTTAGAGGGTTAGCTAGGTCATAATATCTACGAATTTCTGATTATTTTTGTTAGCTAGTCTATGAATGCTAAACTTCAAATTTAGCAGCAAAATTTATTGACCAAAACTCGGCCACATACATGACATAAACTCATGCGAAGAATTACGGATGGTTTGCGAGCATTATAAATAGTAACTCTCTTTTGCTAATTGACATAAACTTGATAGTTGGACTGATGTTTTTCAAATTTACCTTTATACAATTCGCAGTTTAATCCATGCTCCTTTCGGCTTTCGTTGTGTGTTATTTTGAGTTCTTCAAGAGTGTCAGGCCGTTATTGCAATATTCAGTTAATTCTATGACCAGGTGAAATAAGATTTGCCTAAAATTGGGTGACCTATCTCCTATAATAGAGGCTTTGAAGACGTATACTCATTTCGGTAACTGTGTGTGTTTAGCCCAACGTGTTTGGGCTAGTGTTTTAAATAAATCTTGTCGATTAACCATACAGACATATGTTTTGAAATTCTTGGGTAGAAATCTCGTCTGCATAAGAGTGTGAATGCATGCAGGACGAATTCAGCTCTTAACTTTATCACTCGAAGTCTAAGTAAACTCGGAATAAGATTCGTCCGGCAGCAGGTCGAATAACTAGTTTTGTTCCGTTCTTCCGGGAAACTGAGAAATTATACTTAGCACGATAACAAAAGCTATTCATCCGTCATCCAGTCAAAGCAATTACCGTTTGCCTTTTTCCTGTTCGCCGTTTTTATGTTCTTGATCGTCAAAACGGGAAGAAAAACAGGCTGTGTTCAGTGTTTCAGCCACTACTACAGGCAGATAATATATACGTTCTAGATCTATCTGAAAGTCAGCTCATTCAGTTTAAAGCAGAATTCTCAGTGTTTCGCGGTAGCCCAGGCTATTTTTCAAGGCTTCAATTAGCAGGTTTCTTTTTCGTGTCAGTTACAGTAATTAATACCCACGCAATTTTGTCGAGAATGGTAGGTGCTCGAAACTGAATGATTTATTCCGGCTCAATTTTTTTTTTGTTTTGGTCGATGAACAACACATGGAGCAAGAAAAACATTAATGACGGACTCTCACCAGCACCTGTTTACTGTACAGAAGACAATCGAAATTTGCATAATGCCATTTGAAACTGTTCGATGAAGCTATACGAGTCACTGCAATCGAAGTAGGCAGTTTAACTGACGGAGAAAAAACTTCCCCTGTGATGAAACATTTCGTACTAAGTGTGGGTGAACATTTAGATTCATCAATTTGTAAAGATGAAATAACAATAACGCAATAAGGTCTCCTGCACTACGAAATTCATCTTTCATGTTGAGAAAATAAACATCTCTCGGTGCCAGAAGTTTTTCTCTAAAAAAAAAATAATTGGGCAATTTTTCATTTTTTTTTTCTTTTTAGGTAATGATTATAACATCGATGTTTTCGTTTTGTTGACACAGAACACCAATTGAAAATGACTTTAGATAAATTGAGGATTCTAGATATGTGTTCGATTCACCGTTTGGAATTAAAAAGACCTACTTCTTCTAAATCCATGATTGTTGATCGAACTAGCATAATAGTGGCACGACAGGTATTGTGCAGAGCTCCCGTGGGAAGGAAGCAAGACTCAGAATTGTATTGTCTAGCTTCTTCGTTTGAATTTAAAAATTTGTCTGTGGTCAGAAGTCTTATAATTCAACGCCGTTTGTGAACTGTGGTTCTTGCAACAGTCGAATCCGAGGAATTTCTTAAACCTGTTTTGCAATACAGCCCGACCATGCCGCCTTTCTTTTAGTTCTGTAGTATTGCAACAATCAAAAGATTTAAGGATGGATCAGTTTTCTCGGAGAAATCCGGCATGAAGTATATGTATATAGATTACTAAACTGCTTATCTCGTAATACATATTACGGTAACCTACAATATAAGTTGTTTGGTGGAAGCCGGCAGTCCGATATGAAATTATTGCAGTACGGAAAATCACCCTGCCGCTTTGACAAATCCAGAATTTCTATCATTATTATTAAAAAAAAAAATGGAAAATAGACTGATCCTTTGCAAATGTAATGAACTAAATTTTTCACACCCCTACTGAAGTAGCTACACCAGTAGTGAGGAACTAGTCGAATTTACTCCTATCACATACCTTCAAAATATTCCTTTCGCCAGTCAATTTAGTTGATTGAACACCAGATCTTCGATTCTCTTTTGCAAACTGTTCCGGCTTCGTTACGTCGCCCAGTGAAAGAAAACACGCTTTAAATGAACTCTTTAGAATGTTCACCTGACGGCCTAAAGTTTGTGAACATTTCCTTGTTGACAAACTGGAGTCACTCAGCTTGTGGAACACAGCGTGCGCGCGGGGCAATATTGAGCTTCTGCAACACCGCCAAGGTTGTTATTGTCAGAGTGATTTACAAGGCGACAGTGTCAAACATAATACCGAATAATACGTGTGTGCTGAGTCGTTAAACAAGATGGAATAAATTATACACAACAGCTGAACATTTTCAGTTTGGGGTCGGCGAGGTAAAACTGAGGCACACGGCCAAGTTCTTCGCGGGAAGATAGGCGGTGAAATTAAAGTAAACATAAAAAGATTTAATCGTAGTCATAATATTTTGACACTTTTTTCTCGTAATATCTCAAGGTGAGTATAAATCTACTAAGGTAGTAAAAAACTCACTCCAAACTGACAGAAATTAGAACAACGTTCATTTGAGACCCATTCAGACCACGCTATAGTAGCACAATGAACAGAAAAACCCTTCAGGGCAAAGTGATTATTCACTCGCCAAAGAAGTTGTTTTCCCTTTAATCCAGCGACACGTCATATCTTAAGAAAAAAAAAAGTTAAATGAAATTGAACATCTTTCCTACATATTTGTGTATTTAATTTGTTCATGTAGACAAAAAAGCATTCTGCGAAAAAAAAAAGAATCAATAATTAGTTGCTAACTGATGTAAAAGCCTCTTAATTTTTTTTTTTTTTCTCTTTTATCATCGCGCAAATGATTCCCTAGGTTCACAACAAGATTTGAGTGCCACTGTTCACGGTCTTGTCTGCTATCTTGTCCCTGGTGCTTGCCTTGCATGTTTCACTCCGGGTTCTTTTGCCTTATGGATCCCCCAGCATTTTGTTAGGATAATCACCCAATGAAAAGCTAGCACCGGTACTCAATGAGAACCCCGGACACTGCGCTCCGATCCACCGCTGACCGCATCCGAGTCTAATGCACAGGCCTTTAGATAACCTGCGTTCATTTCTGTCTTTTTTTCTTTTTTTGAAAGGGACCGGTGGGGGGAGGGAGGGAGAGGGGAGATATAGGGATGAGATGTAGGGAGCAAGGGTATGATTGCCTTTAGCCCATCTTGTCCTAGCCTCCCACGCAGAAGCTCTTGGGGCTAGGAACGCGTGACGTGCCCACCATATAGGCTCCGATTACCAGCAACCGGCGGGAAAGGAGAGTCGAGAGAGCGGCGGAAATCAAGCCTATATCCACCCAGGAGTCCATTTCCACCACAAAATCCTTCAAACCGAATCAACGGAAAATTCATATTTCACTTTACCACTTCTCCTTTGGCAAGATACGCCATTTGTAATCGGGTGGACAACTGGACTTGAGGGTACCGGGATCCATGATTCCAATTTTCCAACTTTCCGGTATACGTTTGTATGGCCGTTTGAGTTCCGGTTGCTAGCTCGTTCCCAGATCCTACACTGCAGAGAAACTCGAAGGCGCCGAAATATTACGCTCCTATTGCCGGTCTTTAGAAAATCGAAATCTTGTAAAATATACACATACAAGATAGAAATATGTCGACAACAGACATTCTTTACTTGTCAATGTTACTAGGATCGATTCCATACGGCCATCTTGTGAAAATCTCCGGCACACCTGCCCGTAAACAGCTCCTGTGTACAGCTGCTGGAATCTGCTTGTCAATGGCTTTGGTGGGATTTTGGGGCATTTTGCATTCGTTTGTCACGATTTTAGGCACTTATTTGATAGTTATTTCTCTTGGTCCAAGGTAAGGCTATTCTCTGTTCATTTTGCGAAATGCTGACGTTCACGTGAGACCTAAATGCAAAGAAATTTACTTGATAAATCTATGTAAGCTTGAATTCCGATTTCACATGATTCCGCCATTGCGAGGCATCGTGCTAGAACAAATAGAACCCAAGCTTATCTTAATTTGTACCCCTTACAATAGTAATTAAAATTACACACGTGTTGAATTGTAAGTGAAGATTGATTCAATTAACTTTTAACGATGTCCGAGTAACTGAAATGATATAGATGGTTAAACATAACCCTTACATGCTACTTTGAGCGGAACCACTGATTTCCTCCAACGTAGCATTATCATTGGTGTTTTGTCGGGGAAGGAGAAGGGAGCGGGGGGGGGNGGAGGGGAGGGGCAGTCAGTGGGAACCCATGATAACTGAAGATAGCTAAGAGCTTTCTTGTATTTCATCCTCCTACAACCGATTGTAAATATTCTTATTAATAATTAAAAATCTTAGATTTTTGATGAGACTGCTATTTCACAACATGATCATTATTCACAGCTTGAGGTTGGGTTGCCTGTGTCTGTACACCACAAAATGCACATGATGCATTTCAGTGCAAAAATTTTCATCTGTTGGTCAACCAGTTTCATCCAATTTATAATCCTTACCAAAACCTGATATACATTTACACTGCAAATATAGTGTAGACATGTGAAACTCACCTTTAGGTAGATGTCATTTGTTCTTCCTTCATTTTTCTTTTCTAGGCGCTGTGAGTGGGTAGCATTTCTGTATGTGTTTGGTTATTTGTTCTTCTTCCGAACCTGTAGATATTTTGGCTTTGAGAAGCCACCAGAACATAGCAATGCTATTCAACTGTTAGTTACCTTGAGGGTAAGTTTTAAACTTATTCCCAAGGTTATATTTCTGTCAGAGCCAAAAATGAATTTAATTTTAAAAACCATCCCTAAGGCACCTTTGCTAAGCTCTTCAGTTGTTGATTAGTTTAACAATGACCAAAGTAGACCAGGTAAATGTTGAGAAATTTTATGTTTTATGCTATGTTCTTATTCTCTGCCTAAAAGGTCAAAGGTGAAATCTTAGTATAAATTATTACTAATAACTATGTCTGAGAAACAATATTGTGCCAATGGTATCAACAAATTCATGTCTCAGCAAAGATTTTATGTAACAGATGACTGTGAAATTAATCTTTTTAGTTTATTTTCAAGAATTTGACAAGGCCTGCATTGCTACTGGTAACTTAAATGTAGAAAAGTATTACACAGCACTTGGCATGAAGATATGTATTACATTTTGTGAATGAGCACATATGAGACTGAGTAAATGTTGCTTGTAACACCAAAAAAATAAATTTGTATCTTCAAGCTGTTTAATGTAATGTTCTATTGTATAATTATATTATATATATATTGCATAATTATTATTATGTAATATTTTTTAGTGTGAGAATGTTATTAGTATTTTTAAATAACATCTGGTTTATGCCTTCTTTCAGTGTTGTACTTTACCGTTTGAAATATTTGACTCTGAGGAAGCCAGCGAGGCATATTCCAAGAAGTCAAAACGACCGTCTTTTTACGAGTTTCTCAGCTATTCTTACTGTTACTGTGGGCTGACAACTGGGCCGTATTATCGCTACAAGACTTTCAAAGACATGATCAATCAAGAACATCCCGAACAGATCTCAACCATCATTCCAGCCATGAGGAATCTAAGGACTTTACCTTTTTTTGGTGTAACCTACCTTGTGTTAAACCATTTCTTTCCAGTCAGCCACATTGCAAGTGATGAGTATGTTAACCACCCCTGGGGGATGGCGTTCCAGCTAGCCTATCTTGTACCAACATTCATTGGGTTTCGGTGGCGATTTTACATAGGCTGGCTCTTAGCTGAGAGTTGCTGTATGACCCTTGGTTTGGGAGCGTATCCATTTCAAACAGATCCTAGAGCTGGATTTGGGCCTACTAAGTCAATACCAGAAGAAAATGGCATAGTTAATACGGGAACTGCTTCGGAGCAAAATGATGAGCCTTATAAAGACACCCACAGGTATAGTAACATGTTTGTAATAACTGGAAGTGAAGGTGAATAACTATTAATAATGATTAAAAGATCAATTTTTAAACAAAGTGCTTGGTTATACAATGTTCAATTGATAGTAAATATAACTAGAAAATGGTATGACAAGGTTCTATTTGTTGTCGCAATGGTTATTTTTGATTTTGATTGTCTTTGATTTTTCATTTTGCCGTTTTATGTTTATTTTATTCAAAACTTATCGAACTGACCTGAAATTTAACAATCACTATATATATACAGTGGCATGTAAGATTACTTATCCATGTCTTAAAAATTTTTAAGTTATTAACTTGGTTCAACTTTATCATGGAGGGAAACAGTTTAACTGGTTTTCAAGGATATCTGGTTTCTCAAGGGACCAGTCATTAAGTGATTTATTATATAGCACAGTGAAGATATTTGAAGATGTGGTTGTCATTCAGCATTCACAGGTAACGGTGCACTGGTACCCTTTGATGTCATAGATTTTGCAATCTTATGTTGTCCATTCGGAGACTTTTTGGTGAAAAGCAGTTTTATTGTCAAATGTTGCGTGACCCCAAAGTAGGCAGTAAAAGGGGTTAAAGCACAGTCGTGCTGTTGGGGAAACAATCCTGCTATATAGCAATACTAATTATGATCCTGTTATCAATCTTCACAGCTTTGAAACCATCCACAATATAAATATCTTTGAGGTGGAGTTTTCACCTTCCATGTCAAACACAATGAAAAACTGGAACTTGTCTGTTCAATGGTGGATTGCTACTTACATTCACAGAAAAGCACCATTTAAGAACAGAAATTTGAGGTAGGCCTCCTTAATGTTTTCAGAATCAATGGTATTTTCAATAAACCTTTTGAAAGTGAGAAATTTCTTTAAAAAAGTTTTGATTTAATTGCTTTTTAAAACTATTTATTCACAGATGTTGCATCTTGATATTATTTACAATCCTGCCTGATCTCAAATGAGATCATCATTTCCTTTTGGTACACTGTTATCTCAGTCTGAGGTGTTATTTTAATTATTATTTTCAAATTCCCTTCATTTTAAAGTTTTGAATATCACAGACTGAAATAGTATCCTAACGGTTACCGTAAGCCTCGAGTTAGAGCCTCCCCTGAAACAAGCACCCCCTTCAAATGAACGCCCCTCATATCGGCCAAAATTAAAAATAAGCATCTCCCCTCGAACAAGCCCCCCTCCCCTCCGCATGTTTTAAGGAAGAGTACTGAGGCATTAAAGGATGTATAAGTTTGGTCATGTTCAATCACAAGCAAGTGATTATCGACTCATTCTACTTCCAGTCACTCGAGGGTGACTGGCACTTCATGCAGCAGAAACCTGAATAAGCCCTTTTGTGTGTCTTTTTGGCTTCTGGCTGCGATAACAGACTTAATATTTTTTCTTAGTCATAAGTATGGCTTCACTGAGTCTTTACTAAATAATAACATTTCTGTTCATCTTTGTAGGATGTTCACTACACTTTTCGTGAGTGCCTTTTGGCATGGTGTTGCTCCGGGATATTACCTCACTTTCTTGTGCGTTCCACTGGTAGTTATTGCTGAGGTGCGAATGGAGAAAGCTATCAAGCCTTACTTATCACCAAAACTCTGTTACTACTACGACTGGCTCAGCTGGTTTTTCCATTACCGCTCCATGGAGTACCTTGGCTGTGGATTTATGCTCCTTCAGCTTGCCCCATGTTGGGCAGCATGGAGGAGTGTTTACTTCATTGGACATATTGTCCTTTTGGCATTTATTATTATTCCATTCTTCATTCCCAAGAAAAATACCAGTGACAAAGAAGCCAGAAAAAAGTTGTCTTGATTACAGCTGTAGTTACACATTGTTTCATTCCAAAGTATATATTAAAAGGGTGCGATATTAGACTACCTTATGGTAAATGGTTACAACAAAGCCGGTTTGGAAAGTCAGCTATTTATTTTCACCTAATTCCTGTATTGTTTTTGAAGTGTATGTGATGTTAAGCTTCGGGACAGAAATGCAAGCAGAAGTGAGGCTACACTGGCTTTTGTTGTTATTGCAGCACGTTGCTGCAAATAATATTATTACTTATATGTTTGATGCCAATCTATGATTGTACATTTGATTCACTGATTTCTCATAATCATACTTGTTATCATTTCATTGGAAGATTTATTTTCCCTTGCTACTAGCTTCATGCAATCACTGCTTGTTGTGGAGGTGTGGTGGCCTCATGGTTAGTGTGCTCGTCTCCGGATTGAGCAGTCCGGGTTCGAGCCCTGGCCGGGGAGTCTGACATTGTGTTGTGTTCTTGGGCAAGACACTTAACTCTCACAGTGCCTCTCTCCACCCAGGTGTATAAATGGGTACCGGCGAACTTAATGCTGGGGGTAACCCTGCGATGGACTAGCATCCCATCCAGGGGGAAGTAGAAATACTCCTAGTCGCTTCATGCTACAGAAACCGGGATAAGCTCCGGCCTGATGGGCCACTTGGCTCGTATGCAGACTTAACCTTTACCGCAGCATGTTGTTGCAAATAGTATTATTACTTATATTTTTGATGCCAATCTATGATTGTACATTTGATTCACTGATTTCTCATAATCATACTTGTTATCATTTCATTGGAAGACTTATTTTCCCTTGCTACTAGCTTCATGCAATCACTGTTTGTTGTGTACAAGTTTATAGCATCTAAAATTACAAATAATCTGATATGACGATGTTGAAAGTGATGATACCAAGCCAAGTGAAGATGAGAAGTCAATCAGAAAAGCGATTTGAAAGAAATTGATGATTATGATGGTGATGATGTTAATGATGATGGTGATGATGATGATGATGATTTGCAACAAAAGAAAATTTTATCAAATGTCTTTGTCATTTATTTTATATTCTATAAGTCAGAAGAAACCAGTAGATGAGATTTAATATAACTTTACACATTTTTGACTACGTAAGTCTACTTTTTCACTCTGGATATCAGTGAGTTATCCTCATGATCCTTTTATAAATGACACAGTTGAACTCAGAAAACTGTGGACACATATGTTACATGGCAAAGGCTGCCCATCCCGCCACAGAGTGCTGGTGCAGGTGCATGTGATCAAGTTAATACAGAGCAAAGTAATACTGTGCTATGCATGGTGCCCTTAAAAAAATAAATAAATAGGTAAGTAAATATTTATGGAAGGTTATTGGGTATATATATATATGAAGCAAGGTAAGAGCCTTGAATGATATTAATTATTATTAGGTGTGAGAAAACTAAACCACAGAGTCTGCAAACAGCGACAGTAATGGGTTTGTGTTTTTGAGGTTTGATCACGTGTCCTGAACTTCATTGTGATGGTCAGTACACAACTGACCTTTCAAACTCAAATTGAAATGTTCACTTCTTCTTCTTCTTTTTTTTTTTTTTACAGACAGTTTTGTAGTCCACCTTAATTTTAAAAGAAATTGTACATCTATAATATTAACTTGGAATAAAACCCCAAACAATGAATTGTTTTTCACAACCAGAGTTGTGGAACCAAAGCATGTTTTACATGGCAAGAGGAAACGTTCTAGCCTTGACGTGTATGTATAACTCAAAATGTTGGATCTGTCTCATCCTGATCACTCACATTTTGATGAATATAAAACAGAGATTTCATGGCTAAATTATTATTATAATTTTCTACCAATAATGTAATGAATTTGTTTATAAGTAACTTGTAAGATGTTGTTTTGAGATATTTTATTCAATATTTTTTCTGATGTCAATTCAAATTCTCCCTACAATTCAATACATTTGCTTAGAATGCCATTTAGGCATTATAAACAAATTTTAAATAACTCATTTCTTAATATATTTGTATATAACTATTTTTAGGCATCTATTGTATATTACATATTTACATAGATTATATAATCCTATTTTTTTTATATATACAATTTTGAGTTCACGCACACGTTTTAACGAGCACTTGCACTCCTAGGTGTCGTGTGGTTAAATAAAGTATTGATTGATTGATTGATTGATTAGGAAGGTTTGGAAGAACATTTTAGCAGATTTTAGTGCTTGACCTTAGCATCTTTTCATTTCATCTTCTAACAACTGAACAAATCGGTTTAATTTGTTACCGTAAAATGTCCACACACAATTTTAGGAGTAAGTTTTAAAGATTAAAGATAATGGCCAAAAGAAAAAAAAAATATCGTGCACTGGCCGGGAATCGAACCCGGGCCTCCCGCGTGGCAGGCGAGAATTCTACCACTGAACCACCAGTGCAGGTTATGAGAGAGATGGGTGAAATCGTAATATTTATCATGTTTAAAAAAAAGGTTGGCCGTAAGAAATTTCTTTATTGTGTCTTGATGCCCTGTATCTTTCTCGCTAGTGAATTTTATTGAAGGAGATAAGGTATTAACAACCGTGACGTAGACAGTTTGAAAATTTGAGAAAATTTTAAAACAACTTTAGTCGACGCTGACACGTGGACTGTAAAAATTAGCATACATCGGAGGGTATTGCTGTTTATTAACAACCGCAGACCAATTGAATAATTTTTGGAGTTTTTCAGAACCGGCTTATGATTTGTATCTGAAGTTCGAAAGATTTCAGTATTTTAAGACACTAAAGGAGGTTCAAATGATACCGGACTACAATCCTGTTACTCAAGCTCTTCTGGGAACTTTATTTACCTGGGCAGTAACAGCGCTGGGGTCAGCGCTGGTGTTTGTTTTCAACAGTGGTCAGGTAACATTTTAGGGTAGCGGATGGTAGCGCAGTGTTTGCTCACTTGCTCTCCGTAAAAGCAGTACTTCATATTATTTCTCTGCAATAATTTTTACTATTTTACGTATGTAACTTTCTGTTACGATCTCTAGAGAAAGATTTTAGATGCAAGCTTGGGATTCGCCGCTGGGGTAAGAAATGTAAATTGTATTTGTTAATTCAGCTTACACCTAACCTTAAATATAATTTATTATTATAGCTAGCATTTTCCTAGCATTAAGCATGTATTTAGTAAGTACTCAAGCTTTCAACTCTTTTAATCACATGGCAAAAATGGCAAAAATCGCCATAAATCTTTTTCTTTTGGTTTTTGTAATTTCTGAAGTTTATCACTGAAGACAGTCCCTCTTGGCTGATTGTTTGCTTTTTTCTCCTCACCTATCTTCTTGAAAATTTATTGCTGTAGTAAAAAGAAATAAGATACTAGTCACTATTGGAATATTTTGGAATTTGGCAACTGTTACTGTCTGCTTTTGGTATCACTAATTTAATCTCAGTATTATTTAATTATTTAGGATTCTTGAAAGTGCCAAACCAGGTTTTCTTTTAAGTGCAACTTTTGTTATGTTGTGGCATAGTATGATATTGCCAATTTCCTCATCCTTATTAACAGTAAAGTATGTCCAATACTTACCAATAGTTTCCACAAGTGGTGCAAATTAAGATAATAGGATTGTTCAAGGTGCAAAATGAGGGTTTTCTAAACTTTTTGCATGTGGGTACTTTCCGGTACTATAAAACTGAATGCATAATTTTATGTACAACTGATGAAAGTGTATATCATTAATTAGGGTTCCAAATGGTTTAAAAAGCGTGATGTGTGATGAGGGTAAACATTAGTGTGAGATGCATGAAAAGCTTGGCTAAAAGACATCTATGATTCATGAATTTATGCCAAAAAAAGCTTTGTTAAAAGCTGCCAAAAATATAAGTGGCGCATTAATTTTGTTGAAATTTGTGCATGAATGAGATCACAATCCTTGCCCCCTTTCCTACCCTCATTAGGTGAGGCACCTATAAACTCATATACAGGTAGATAATTATTTTTAAGGAACTCTGTGTAACTGGCAAAACTGCATCTCATTAGGGGAATAGTCAACTCATGTGTCTTTTTTTCACCAGCCCCATGACTTGCATGAGTCTGATACCTGTTGGCAAATCCTCTTTGTAATAATAGCTGGTTTTCACATGACGTCACCAAAATTCGAACTACAAAACTATTGATCTTCCTGAGATTTTACTTAAATGATGTATAAGAGCAGCTGAA